ATAAAATTATTTATTCAAACTGTCTGAATATTTTAGTCTGGATATACATTGAGAAATTATTTTATCAAATAGTTGAATCAATTTTCATTCTTACCAGTAGAATATGAAAACAATACTCATTGTATTATATACTTGCTATTCTTATATTTCTTTTTCCTAGCTAGAAATAATTGTATTTATTATTTTTGTGTAATTATTTTAGTAATACTTAAATGTCACAAAAACCTGTAGATAATAGTCAGGCTTTTGTCACTGTGAAGAATATTTGACAAAACAACTTAAGGGAAGAAGGATTTTTTTTTGGCTTCTGAGTTCCTCTAGGAACTTCTTCTAGGTTCCAGTCCAAGTTCAGTTGACTCCATTGATTTTAAGTCTGTGGCAAGGCACAAACATCACTGAGGAAAGACATGGCAAAGGAAAGCTTTTCATTTCACAGTAGCCAGGAAACAAAGACAAGTAACATGAAGGGGCCAGGGCCAATGTGTGCCCTTCAAAGGCACACCCCCCAGTGATCCACTTTCTATAGCCAGACCCTACCTTCCACAGTTCCACCAACTCCCAATGGTCTAATAAAAGTTAGAACCCATCAGTGGATTAAACTATTGAGTAGGTCAGAGCCCTCGTTTTCTAGTGTCTCTGGAAAGGCCCTCACAGACATAACCAGAGGTGTACTTTACTAATCTCCTAGACATTCTCGATCCAATCCAGCTCACAGTCACAATTAACCATCAAAATAATACTGAAAGATTTTATAAAGTGAAAACCACTACCAGAATTCACGTCAACATATTGCTGTGTGTTTTCTAAGACTTTTTAAAAATTATCATATTGTTAATGTACTGGAGGTACATTGGGACATTTACAAAATATATCTTAGTTAAATTTACCCTGACCATTGGTCTCCTTTATCCCCCTCCCCCATTCTTAGAATAGTTTCAAGTCTCATCTCTCCGTTTTCATATATGAGTACATAATATTTCCACCATATTGACAAGACTTTTTGAATATGTAAAATTCTTCTTACTCCCTGTTCTTACTTAAATAAATATTATGGACATCTTTTAATGTTAATGAATACAATTTACATCATCTTTTTTTGGTAGTGGTACGTGGGTTTGAATTCAGAACTTAAAATTTGCTAAGCAAGTTCTCTACCACTTGAGCTATGCCTCGAGCCTCTTTTGCTTTAGTTATTTTTCAGAAAGTGTATCATGCTTTTTTATTTTATATCATTTTTTTTTGGAACAGAGCTGGCCTGGCCTGTGATCCTCCTTATGCCTCCTGTGTAACTCAGATTACAGGCATGTACCAACACACCTGGCTATTTTTGCTGAGATGGGGTCTTGATAATTTTTTGCCTGGGCTGGCCTCAAACCCTGATTCTCCTGATTTCTGCTTCCCATGTAGCTGGAATTAGAAGTGTGGGCTACCATATCTGTCCTCTATGTCACCATCTTTAACAGACAGAAAATATTCCATTGTATAAGTGTATCATAATCAATTCATACCAAAGACACTTATATTGTTTCAAATTTTGGTTTTTGAAAAAAATTAGTTATATTTCTCAAAAGGCAGATGAAATTATTTTGCAAAGAATTAATTTCCTATTCTGCTATATTATAAACATGTCATGAGCTAATTTATAAGTATCTAATGAGCTATATTACAATTTAAATTGTGTAAGACCTAATTTTACACAAGTTGCAATTATAAATGAAGGGCAGCATGCTAGCAAGCCTATGACTCTAGCATACATTAGTTTTCTATTGCTGCCCTAATAAGCTAAATGGTTTAAAAATAACTTGAATTTATTATCTTAGTTTTCTGGAGACAAAGTCTAAAATTGTAGGTTTGAATTTCTTCTAGAGGCTATAGGAGAGAATCTGTTTCCTTGATTTTTCTAGTTCCTATAGGCTGCCAGCATTCCTTGCCTTTGACTTTCATTTCTGTGGTCATACTTGCTTCTCTGACACTTCTGATTAAAAACTCCCTTGCAAAGGGGATTGGACTTTGAGCACATGATAAAAGCAAGAGCACACAAGGGAGGGGTGAGGATAGGTAAGACACCTAAAATACTAGCTAGCATTTGTTGCCCTTAACGCAGAGAAACTAAAGCAGATACCTTAAAAACAACTGAGGCCAATAGGAAAAGGGGACCAGGAACTAGAGAAAAGGTTAGATCAAAAAGAATTAACCTAGAAGGTAACACACACGCACAGGAAATCAATGTGAGTCAATGCCCTGTATAGCTATCCTTATCTCAACCAGCAAAAACCCTTGTTCCTTCCTATTATTGCTTATACGCTCTTTACAACAAAATTAGAAATAAGGGCAAAATAGTTTCTGCTGGGTACTGAGGGGGTGGCGAGGAGAGGGAGGGGGCGGAGTGGGTGGCAAGGGAGGGGGTGGGGGCAGGGGGGAGAAATGACCCAAGCCTTGTATGCACATATGAATAATAAAAGAAAAAAAAAACTCCCTTGCAAGGAAAGAGTGGTAGGGATGACCTAACTAATGTACAATATAAGCCTATTTGGAATTGTCACAATGAATCCCCCCCTCCCCCATAAAATGAATATATCCTAATAAAAATTAATGTATAAATAAAAACTCCCTTGCAAAAATCCTTGTGATTACATTGGACCCACAGCACAATCTTCTTATGTCAGGATCTTTAGTTCAATTACATTGGCAAAATCTCTTTTGTTAAGTAAAGTAATATATTTGCAAGTTTTCGGGATGAGGACATAGACATGTTTTATTGTGTCTTTCACAAAACATGTATTGTTTTTAAATTTTAGACTGTACTCTTTCACTTAAGAATCTGTCTTTGGGAAAATGCTAGTTCTTATAAGTTTCATTTTCTAATCTATGAAATGAGAAAAGCATACTCTCAATAAAGGGGGGTAATAAAGACTTATAAAATAAACCACATAAAATATCTTAAGATCAATGCCAAGTACTTAAAAAACAGAATAGCCAACACATAATTATGTATTAGAAGTTAGTTATATAATTATTAAGATAAAATTGGTAGCATTCTTGCTGAGCATATTTGAGACTAACAGGTGAGGGAAGCCAATGTTTCCTTAATTTGCTTCATCGACTTTCTGCTTTTCTTTTGCAGTATAAATGATAAGTGGGGAAAAACACTGACTTTCTATTAGGATTTCAGATGTATACTGGACAGATCCATGATGAGTTAAATACTTGCCTTTTCCCTAAAAATCTGAGAATATGAAAGTATAGTGATGAAATTAATATGAAATTATTAATCCAGCTGTACATATTTATTTTTTGCATAGTATGTGTCTAGATTTTACATTCATAGGAGCTAAAGTTAGGACCTCCAAAAGCTAAGACTTCTTCTAATTTGGGATCCTAGAATTATAGGCAAAAGTTGTACATGTTCATTTTTCTAAGTTATAGATTTCCTTGTAATTTCTAAAGGATCCATTATCCCAAATAGAAGAGAGCTAGTTTTCAAAACAAATTTATTTATAAATTTTTTTATTAATGTTTTTGTGATAAGGTCTCACTATGTAAGTCAGTCTTGCTTGGAACTCACTATGTAGCACAGGCTGTCTTTGAACTTGTAATTCTCCTTCCACCGCCTTCCCAGTGCTGGATTACAGGCTTACAGCCACCACATCTGGAAAAACCAATTCCTTCATTCTATTTTAAATTAGGTAATTCTTTCCGACATTAAATATTTCCTACATCTTTGTTACTTAACACCTTAACACAGTTTTAAATTATAGACTGGCATACTTAAGATTTGAGAAACAGTATCTCTCAATAAAAACAGAAGACGGATTTAAGCAAAAAGAAAATGAAGATCCAAGTAGTGACAGACTCAGTTATTAATTTAGCATTTATTTATCTCTAAAAATGGGACCTTACTGATATACTGTTTTGCAAACCAGGCTTTTCATGATGCATCACAAATATACTAACATGTCAACAAATACACTTCAACATAATTTAAATGGTCACTTTGCACTTTATTTTGTATGGATGTACTAAGATTTAATCATTCCTGTCTGATGGCCATTTGGGTAATTTTTAAAAATCTCTTTCCTTTTAAAAAAGTTCTTGTGCTTTGAACATCTTTGTAATGAGATCTAACCATTGTTTGGTTTAAATGTTAATGCTGCCATTTACTAGCTGTTGAACTTTAAGTAGTCTACGACTTAACTGTGCTTCAGTTTCTTCATCTGTAAAATGGGTATGACAAAGCACCTACCTCATAGAGCTGTTCTAAGCATTAAAATAGTTGATTCAATGTAAAGATTACAGTGCCCCCCATCTTCCCCCCCCCCATGCCGTAGATCAAACTCAGGGCCTCGCCCATGTTAGGCAAGCGCTCTACCAATGATCCATTTCCCCAGTCCTCAATGCAAAGATCTTAAACAGTATCTGGCGCAATCTGAATGAGCAATAAATGTTTACTTATCCTTATGAGTACAGCTATTTTTCCTCACAAACTCTGTTTTTAAAAGTAAAACTTAGGTCACGAAGCTAGCTAGTAGCAGAGGCACAGAACTGGTCCTTTAAAATCTTTCCACCCTTGCTACTTATTGCTCTGGAGTAGCGTACCAACAAGTTCAAGAAGTTAAAAAAATACTCATGGTGGGAGTTGTCTGATAGGATTCTTTTAGTAACTCGGTGATAAACCCGTAAAACGAGCAGTTGATACCTAGAATAATGAGGATAAATAGGTTCGAACTTCAGCGTGAATCAACCCATGAAACAAAAATTGATTTTCTGCGGGCTGGTACTACGTAGCTACGGTTTCCATGGTTACAGGTCTCGCTAGGACCCGGGCTTTATATACTACGCAAGCGCACACAGTTGATTAACATACCGGGCCCCTTGGGGTTTGAATAGGAAGTCCCGCCTCTCTTCCCGAGGTTAGCCTATTGCCGTCTCTCTTTGCCTATCCCAAGCGCCCTGGGAGTCTGTGACGCAATATTCGCGCGTCTGCGTCGTTTGGAATTGCGACGCGGAATATGGCGCGTTCTTAGGAGTGGTGTTTGGCATCAGTAGGCGTCCGGGTCTGGACTGTCAGCTTGGGCTGCGGGGTTAGCCTACTCCACTTTGTGTTGAAAAGTGGGAACGCGAGCAACGGGCTATTCTGGACTGGAGTGAACGGTGAGGCCCGGCCAGAGAGCCGCTGAGCCCTCAAGAGGAAGGGAGGAGGTAGGTTGGGCAGCTTGGACCCGTGAGGCAAGGGAGAAACGTGCGGTTACGTTGATAGCCTTAGCGAGGCGAGAGCGGCCTGCCGTCTTGGGTCTCTGTGTAACCCTAGGGATCCCGGGGAGGGTGGGTCAGCCTGCAGCGGGAAACATGCTTGTGGAGGAATCAAAGGTGCTGGTTGGCAGAGATTTTGTGCCAGGCTGAATGAACAGAGCTATGGGTATCCTTGGTCGCTGGCCGGACTGATTGATGTATTTGCCCTTGGGGGATAGGTGGTGCACATTTTGAGAGAACGAGATTCTATTTCGTGTAAAACCAAGTATATATCGTTATTCTACACACCATATAGTACCGTGGAAGCCTTAAACATTAGACCCTTCCTTGCCTTTAATGAAAAAGTGAAGGAACTTGTGCATTTTCGGAGAGGATATTCATACTGAGGTATGGCCGCCAGTGCTCAAGCTTAGCGAGTCCTGCAGCTTTACATTTGGGGATGTTTGTGATTCAGCAAAATGACTTTGAGGCCACTGTTTTTGTCATTTTTCTTAATTCTTTTTTGACATGGTGACGAATGAGAGAATCTTATCTCAAAGTGATTTGAGTAAATAAGCAGGGATCGGTAAACTCTATTTGTTGCCAGGGTTGTAATTGACTTACCTTCGCCCTCTGCAATTTAAAGTTGCTCAGTGTAATGCCGAAGCGCGGGTGAGATTTGGCTGTTGTTCAAAAGGGAGTAGGGAAGAGCAGTTTGCAGCCAAAATTCCCCCTCACCTCCCCCCCATAGGGATTTCCTTCCTCCATTTTTATATATTTTAAACTTCTCTGCTATGTACAGAGACTTCGTGTTAAGGGCAGAGTGACTCCACTATATGAGACGTGCATTGTATGATATCTTCTCTTAATATCTCTCTTCACTGAGGAAGATACTGGCGAATTAGAAAGTTTTTTTTTTTTTTTTTCTTGCTAGATTCTAGCACAGGGCAGTGGTTTCTGGCCATATGTTATTAACCCCAGGGTAGGAGAGTGTTCTCTGCCTTGGTTGTCCTTTTCTCTTGGTTGCCAAAGAGAATTTTCCCTACAAAAGAATTTGGTTGTAGTAGTACTATCACAAATTCTAAACAAGTATGTGAATATTATTTGGTAATTAGTAGAAATACCATATTACAGATATATTTTCATTCAGAATTAAGCCAGAATGCAAAGTAATCCTTGTAGACATGTGGCATTTAAAATATCCTGAAGGTTTTCTAGAAATAAAAATACCCATGTTTTTGAAAAGATAATATATTTGGCTATTGGGTTTTGACTTTGTTTTTCACACGTATATTTGTATATATATTTAATCTCATGTCTTCTAATTTAGTGTTACTCATGGTAATTTTTTTTTTTTTTCTTCAGTGCTGGGGATAGAACCCAGGCAGGACCTTGTGCATAGTAGGCAAACACTCTACTTCTGAGCACCAGTCCTTTTTCTATTCTTTATTTGTGTCTGATGAGTATTGTCAGGTAATTCCAGAGTGTGTTAGGGGATGGCCAGACACATGTAGTGTGTTATAAGCTTTGTAGCACTTAAGCTGGATCAGTGTTCTCCACCTTTGCCACTCAAAATAAGATATATGACATCACCTGGGAGTTTGTTTTAGAAATGCACAATTACAGGCACAACTCAAAAGCTACTGAATCAGAATCTGCATTTTTAACAGATTATCCAGATGATGGCAAGATAGTAGCCACATGATAGGAATGCTCATTAGTTTGATATAACAATTCTTTGGTCAGTAAAAGCTGAAGAACACCAAGGTCATTATGCAAGTCTGCATGAAAATTATACAATCATTTATTTTATTCTGCAGTGATCTTATTACCAAGTTGGCTTCATCTAGTTGAAGAAACTGAGGCTCAGTAAAGGTGACATTCATGAGGGCCACATATCTCAATTCACAACCCAGGTCTAAATCATTCCAGTGCTTTGCTTTTTTTGTTTTTTGTTTTTTTGGTGGTAGTGGGGTTTTGAACTCAAGGTCTTACGCTTGTTAGGTCAGGGCTCTACCACTTGAGCCACATCTCCAACCCTTTTTTGTTTTAGTTAGTTGTATTTTCAGATAAAAACCTTTAGCAAAAGGTTTTGGCTAAGCTTAAATTATTGGTTATAGTCTACTAAACTTAATTTAGGCTGTGTTATTCCAGAAAAAGTGTTCTATTTGAAGTTAAGCTTACAGCTTTTCTTTTGTATTTGTTTTATATCACAGAAGGAATTTATAAAGCGATAGGCATAATTGTTGTTTATTTGTTTTTATATAGTTAAAGGAATGTCAGAGGTAGTAGTGACCCAGTTGGGGATTCCCAGCTGGGCACAAACTTGATGGGGCAGTATTATTTAGGATAAAGTTTAACTTTTTTCTTTTTTTCTCTTATGCTTATGCTTATCTTATGCTTATCCTTTATGCTAACTGATGTCATATGTAAATGAGTAAGACAAGTTTCTTGCCTTTAAACAACTTGTGGTTTTGTAGATGAGACAGAATGAAGCAAGGAAATGTGTATAATAATAGAAACCCGTGCTAGGTAGAATAGTAGTGTGGAGGAAGGAGTGTTTTACTAGCTAGTGCAGTTAACCATTTCCATAGGCAGTAATGTCTGCTGTGAACAGTAACTAATGATTTCTGTGTCCATTAGCTGCCCATTTAAAAAAATACACTAGATAGAATTGTATAAGGAAGCTTCTTCCACCCATCACCCAGCTTTAAAAATTATCAATGTTATTTCAGTTTACCTTTCACCTACTTCTCTACCTTGGTAGAAGATCTAGAAGCTTAGTTCTTACTCCCATCCCCTAGCAGTTTTTCTTTTTCTTCTTTTCTCTTTTCTTTTCAAGCATGGTCTTGATGTGTAGCTCAGGGTGGCTTTGAACTTACTTTGAGCTCAGGCTGGCCTGAACTCCAAATCCTTCTGCCTCAGCCTCCCAAATGCTGGAATTAAGGTGGGTGCTACTATGCCCAGCTACCATTTTTTCTTTTGAGATTTAGTTCCTCAAAATAATAAAATGTCATTTTCTTTATGTTTTCTAATATGTCAACTTTTCTATTTTGCTTTGAACTTTTCCCTGTTCACAAAAATTCATCTCTTTGTTGTTTTTAGCACATTGCTTTTTCTTTTTAAATTTTATTTATATAATTTTTCAAATACTGGGCATCAAATCCAAGGCCTCACACATGCTAGGCAAGTGCTCTATCACTGAACCTCATTTCAGCCCTTTTTAAAGATTTTGAGACAAGGTCTCTGGTTAAGTTGGCCAAGTTGGCCTCTAACTCAGAATCCTTCTGCCTTAGCCTCCCATGTGCTGGGATTATGGGTGGCGTGCACCACCATGTTTGACCAAACACATTGTCTTTCTCTAGTTTGCTTTTGACACCAGGCAGTTTATCAGTTTCCTAGTATCTCCTATCCATAATTCCTCAGGATTATGTTTTCTACCTTCCATTCTTCTCTTTGTATACTTGGGCTGTGGATCATGATTTAGCTGACAGGAATTCCATTTTTCTTTTTTTTGGTGGTACTATGGTTTGAACTCATGGTGTAACTCTTACTAGGCAGTGGGCTACTGTTTGAGCCCAGCTTACTGCCATTCCAGCTTACAGGAATGTTTGAGAAATAACATTTTTTTTTATCCCTTTGTAGAAAGATCCTATATGCTAAATAAAATACTATATTGCTTTTACATTTCACCAAAAGGCTTCTATCCATTTAAGTTTTATTTATTCAATGTCTATTCTTTAAGAGAGAAAATTGGAACTTTCATATTTTCAATGTCACTTTCTCAGTGGCTTGCATCTGACTATTGCTTTCCCTCTTTCTGAATATGTATCCTCCTCTTACATGTTGTTATAAATCACTTGGGGATTTCATTCCTCATATCACTCTGCCTTTTTTTTTTTTTTTTTTTGTGGTGGCAGTGGGGTTTTAACTCTGGGCTTTGCTCTTGCTGGGCAGGTACTCTACCGCTTGAGCTACTCCACCTGCCCACTCTGTTTATTCTTGAACCACAGTTTCTTGCTCACCTTTATGCTAAAATATTGCTTACCTTACTACATTTTGGTAAATTCTTTCATATTTTCTTTAAGTGAATCTTAAAAACATTCAAATTGTCTTAATTTCTGTTGTAGAGTACTTTTAGTGACACAGTATTTAACTATAGAAGGGAAGACTGCTGTAAGGAAGTTCTTTGGTAGTCATGTTTTGTCTCAAGGTGTTTTTCATTTTCGTGTTTGAATCCCACCTTACTTGCATTAAATTATTGTTTAAACTGCCATTCTTTCTTCTCAGGAGCTCAGTATTCTTTGTGCTCAGTATTCTTGAGCTCTGAAAACCCCACTTCATTTCTAGATGGTTGTCCTGGGCTATGTAAGTGTCCACTGAGAATTGTAGTCAAGCTTTTTCTCTCAGCTCTCTTTGAGGGAAATGAATGATTGGACCCTACTCTTTGGGGTGTGGTACTTAATACTTACCATTAGGTGGCACTGTAGATTACTCAAAAACATTTTTAGGACCTCTTTTACCAAAGGTAGACCTAGTAACATTATCTGGTAAAGAAGGAAGTTGATGTGGAAAATGTCACAGAGAATACTTAGAAATGAACGTGAAAGTAACATTGCTAACAAGTACAAATTTATTTTCCTTCTACGAGCTGGAAGTGTACTGTATGTAATAAGTGAACTCCAAAGGAAAGGAAATAATATGTTAGAGTTTGATTTTCCCTAAATATCTTAAATTATTGTCTTTTTAAACACCAAGTGGTAAGAATATCAAGTGCTTCACGGAGAATGCTATTTTCAGTTACAGCAGCTGTTTGATTATAAAACTCAGAACCCCTGGGTTAAACTGTCTCTTGGTAAACATTGCTACACAAACCCAGATAATATAATTGCTTATCTAATTTTGTTACTGAAGACCAACTTTGTAAGCTCCTCTCCTGAACTTTTTTGATGGTAGTACAATTATTGGCCATATTATCTCTCTTAATATGGCATATTTTATCTATTGCCATGATTTCTTTTTTTTTGAAATAAAGTTTATTTTTTCAAGGCATTTTTATCAACATACATTAGTTGTACAGGGGAGTTCATTGTGACATTTCTGAATTTGCTTACATTGTACATTGGTTAGGTTTGCCCCATCTCTCTCCCTCATTCTCCTGCCCCTACTTAAAACAATTTCTTAATGTACTTAATAAGAGAAATATGTGATTTGTAGCGCTTGAGAAATTGGGACATTTTAGGACTAGGGAAGAGAAAGCAAGGAAATAAGTTGTTATTTTTATGTTTTGGTGGTACTATGTTTTGAACTCAGGATCACAGACTTGCTACGCAGGTGCTCTACCACTTGAGCCACTTCACCAGCCCTTTTTATGTTGGGTGTTTTCGAGATTGGGTCTCATGAACTGTTTTTCCAGGGCTGCTTAGAACTGAGATCCTCCCCATCTCTGCCTCCTGAGTAGCTAGGATTACAGGCGTGAACCACTGGAACCTGGTGGATCTTATATGATTTGTTACACATCCAGCCTTCCCCCCCAAAAAAAACCAAACCAAACCAAAACAAAAAACAAACCATGTCTTTGACAGCCTGCATGAAATATCTGCATCCGTGGCTCTGGTAGTTCTTCAGCCCATATTGGGAAATACAAAAAAAGGTCTTATATCCTTTTACCTTGCTTTAATTTTTTGAACCAGTGCTGTTCCTTCTCTTGAATTAACATCAGTTGTTGATAGGATAGCTACATTGTTTTATTTTCTTTAGTCACTTTTCCTTTGCCTTTTGTTGATTTTGACATTTTCTTAGTCAAAGTTCTTAAAACAGAGAGATATATGGAGCTGTAATTCACAGACTGTACAATTCACCCACTGAAAGTGTATAGTCCAGTGGTTTTTATTACACTCACAGAATTGTGCAACCACGACTACAACTGGTTTTGGAATATTTTCATCATTCCAAATAAAAAAACATGCCCCATAATAGTCCCTCCATATTTGCCCCCAACCCTGCTACTACTTATCTACTTCTTACTTTATAAATTTGCCTGTTATGCATATTTCATATAAATGGAATAATTTTTTTTGTTTGTGTGTGACTGGCTTCTTTTGCTTAGCCTGATGTTTTAAAGGTTTCATTTGTGTTTTAGCATGGTATAGATTTCATTCCATTTTAATTGCCAAATGATACTCTATTATGTGGAAATACATATTTTGCCAGGTATGTGGTTCATAGCTGTAATCCCAGCTACCCAGGAGGGAGAGATTGAGAAAATCATGGTTCGAGGCCAGCCTGGGCAAAAGGTTAGTGAGACTCATTTCAATCAACAAGCCTGAAGTGGTGGCACACATTTGTGGTCCCAGTTACTGGGAGGCATAGGTAGGAGGACTGTGGTCTGAGGCCAGCCCTGAGCAAAAATATGGAGATCTGATCTAAAAAAATAACTGAAGCAAAAAGAACTGGAAGCATGGTTCAAGTGGTAGAGCTTCTGCCTAGTAAGTGTGAAGCCCTGAGTTGAAGCTGTAGTATTGCCAAGAAAAAAACACAAAAACCAAGAAAAAGAAATGTTACATTTTATGTATGTGTTTATCAATATATGATCAGTATTTGAGTGTCTGCTTTTGGGCTATTCCAGATAATGCTACTGTGAACATTAACATTTGTGTACATTTTTTTTTTTTTTGGTGTGGAGGAACACATTTCTCAGTCATATAACTATAGGTGGAATTGCTAGATCTTGTGGTATCTGTGTTTAATAGGTTGAGGAACTACAGACTTTTTCTTAGAGGTTATGGCATTTTATATTCCCACCACAAGTGTTCCAGTTTTTCTTTCTCACCAGTACCTCTTATTATCTTGGTTTTTCTTTTGGTGGTGTTGGGGATTGAACCCAGTGCCTTGTGAGGTTAGGCAAACATTCTACTACTAAGCTATACCGCCAGCTCATTATCTGGTTTTTGTTTTCTTTTTGAGACAGGGTCTCACGGTATAGCCCAGGCTAGCCTCAAACTCTTGATCCTCCTGTCTCTCTCTGAGTGCTGGAATTGTAGATGGGATTACAGGCATGTACCACCATGCAGGCCCTATGTGTCTGTTTGATTATAATCATTTTAGTGGGTCTGAAGTCATTGTGGTTTTGATTGGTTTGCATTTCCCTGATGGCTAATGATGTTGAGCATCTTTTCATATGCTTACCGGTCATTTCTATATCTTTTTCATGTAACTGTTCAAATTCTTTGCCTGTTTTTAAATTGAGTTATATTTTTATTATTGGATTGTAAAAGTTCATTATATATTCTAGAGTATTTTTTCACATCCTGTATGTTGTCTTCACTTTCTTGATGATATCATTTGCTGATACTTTGAATTTTGATGAACTTACCTATTTTTTAATTTCCTTTAGTTTCTGTGTTTGGTACTGTTTTGAGAATGCTTGCCTGGCTCAAGGTCATTACTCTGGTTTGGATGTGGTTCAGCCCCCAAGGGTTCTTGTCATGAAAGTTTGGTCTCCAGGGTGAGTGTTGGGAGATGGTGTGGAACCTTTAAGTGATGGAGCCTAGAAGGAGGCCATTAGGTCATTGAAGGAGCTGCCCTCAGAAGGGATTAAGGTAACTCTTGTGGGACTTAAAGGGCTTTTGTAAGAACAAGTTGTTATAACAGCAAGCCTGACACCTGAATTGCTTTCTGGCTCCTGTGTGTGATGTGACTTCTTGATCCCTCTTGTGGTTCCCTCCTGATGCTGTCCACCATTAGGCCTTTACCACATGCAGAGCCAGTGAGCCTTCTGATTGCACCTTCAGCTTCCAAAACTCTGAGATAAATAAACCTCTTTTTTTGTTTTAGGTACTGGGGTTTGAACTCAGGGCCTCAGGCTTGCTAGATAGGCAGTCCACCATTTGAGCCACTCCAACAATCCACCTCTTTTCTTTATAAAGTTACACAGCCTTGGTTATTTCATTATAGCAATGAAAAATAGACAATACAGTCATGAAGATTTACTCCCAGGTTCCTCTGAGAAGTTTTTTTTTTTTTTTTTTTGGAAGAGGCAGGGCAGGGTTTGCCACCAGTGTCTTGATTAACTTTGTATTAAGTTTTGAAATTGGGAAGTGTGACTCCTTCAGCTTTATGTATTTTTCTCGAGATTGTTCTGTCTCAGACCCATTCACTTCCAAATGAATTTTATTCACCTTTAAAAAACAAAGAAAAGCCAGGGAGGATTTTAATAGGAATTTCTTTGAATCTACACATCAACTTGCTGGGGTTTTTTTGTTTGTTTAGTTTGTTTTGGGATTTCTGTCATGCTGGGCTTTTGAATTTAGGGGCTTCTGCTTGCTAGGCAGGTGCTCTACCACTTAAGCTATCTCCCCTGCCCCAACTTGCTCTCTTAGTAATATTAAGTCTTCCAGTTATGAATTTGCACTTTTTACTTATTTAGGCCTTGAATTTCTTTCAGCAGTGTTTTGTACTTTTCAGAGTACAACTTCGCACTTATTTGTTAAGGGTGTTCCTAACTATTTTATACTTTGTATATTTGTCAATGGAATTGTTTTCTTGATTTGATTTTCTTAGATTATTTCTGGTATATAGAAATATAACTAATATTTGCATACTATTTTGTATATTGCAACCTTATTGAACTTGTTCATTATAGGTTAACGAATTCCTTAGGATTTTCTGTGTACACAATTATGTTATATGCAAAACAGATAGTTTTATGACCTTTCTAATTTGGATGCCTTTTCTAATTTAGTTGGTTACAGCCTCTAATACAATGTTGAATACATAATGAGAGTAGGCAAATTTGTCTTGTCCTTGACCTTGGGGAGGAAGCAGGCAGTATTTAACTATTAAGTATGATGTTTACTGTGGGTTTTTCATAGGTACTCTTTATTAGACTGAGGAAGTTCCCTTTTATTCCTAGTTTATTACGGTGGTTTTTTGTTGTTGTTTGTTAACCCAGCAAATAACTGTGTAACCCAGGCTGGCCTTAAGCTTGTGTTCCTTCTGCCTCTACCTCCTGAGTGCTGGGATTATAGTCAATTCATGTTTTTTAACAGCATTTCCTGAGTATGCTTTTATCTTTAAAAAAAATTTTGAACCTTTATCATTGGTGGTACCAATGAATAAAAGCATTCCTTTTTTAGTTCATTCTCTTTCTTCTGCTCTTGTCAAGGATAAAGTTGGGTGCTAGTATATGCTTAATACTTATGTAATATTAATTTCATTTAAAAATTTTAAAATAAAGACAGAAAACATTATTATGATAGGAGTCTTGGAACTCTCTATAGCCCAGACTAGACTCAAACTCACTTCCTGCTTCTGCCTCCCCAAACAGTGGTATTTAATCAGAGTTTAAAAATTTTGGATTTCGTGTATTGGGGGGGTCTCCCCTCCTCCTAATTTACTACTGTCCTATTTATGAAACAATAAAAGACAGTTTCCTTTAGAAAAAAAGTGATTTAAGTAAAAGTGATTTTAGTTATGGGAGTTTTAAATAAGAAGAGCCTGAATAGTACATAGAAAAGGTGGAAATCAGAACCATGAAAAAGTAGGTAAACAAAGTGAAAAACATAAAAGCTTTTCTCCTCCACTTGTTATTGTTAATTTTTTCTTATATAAAATGTGCATTCAGGTGTGTTAACATATAATTGCAGGTTTCCATGGATCTCAATAGTGCCAGCACTGTAGTTCTTCAGGTCTTAACACAGGCCACCAGTCAGGATACTGCTGTTTTAAAACCAGCCGAGGAGCAATTGAAACAGTGGGAGACACAGCCAGGTTTCTATTCCGTATTGCTGGTAAGTTGTTCTAAAATAATTTATTTCAACCAAATGAGACACTATTATTTTAATAGTTATATAAAAGCCTAGATATATTGGCGGTTTCTTTTAACGAAACTGGTCCAAGTGTTTGGCTGCCATTGTATTATCCTTATCATACTAATTTAGGGCATGGCTTGTTGAGGGTGTTTGTGAAATATTTTTTGATGGATCAACATTTGGGGTCTTTCCTTTCTACTGCAATTTAATTATATCTTTTGACAAAAAGGAAGTCATTTGCTTTGGTTATATTCTTAACAACTTTCATACGTTTACTGTTTAAAACATCCGTTCTTATAAGTAATTGAACAGGGTATTCATAGTGTCTGCTCAGAAGGCACCCACTGTGATGAGTTTTTCAAGTTTAGCACATTCATTCTGACATCAGGATTATAGGTTGTACACTTTCATATTGTGTCTTCATCCCTCTCAGAACTTATATTGCGCCATTCTCCATATTGTAGCATCAGGCTTAGGAATATCATGCTCAGTATTTTTTTCACTTTTTCCTTTTCTCCAGTGCTGGAGATCAAATCCAAAGCCCAGTGCATGCTAGGCAAGCACTCACCACTGAGCTACCCCGTAACCCCATATTTCACTTTAATCATTATATTTCCTTTTCTCACCTAGAAATTTCATTTTCTTGACACATCTGATCTTCTCCTGGGTTCTAATGGGAAGTAATAACTTAATTAGCAATATATGCTTTAACTAAACCTTTGTTGGAGTTTAAAAGGTTTTGGTTAGTTAATCAAAATTACCTTTTCAATGCCAGAATAAAAGAAGTCTTTTTGTGTTGAGGGTGGTCACTCTTTGTTTCTTTGGAAAAATTGAGAAGTTTGGTGATTGAGATTTGTCTCTTGTCACGGCAGTGACCAGTGAACCAAAAACTGACTTAGTATTTGTGACTGGGTCATAAATTCAGAGCAAAATTGTTTATTGTATCTTGCAAAATAGAATAATGCAGCCTCTAACATTCATGTTTTGACTTCTTGGCTAAAAAGTTTGAATTGTTTGTTAAATTTAAGAAGATACTGATCATGACTATGGGAGAAGTTAAATGTTTACAGTCATACTTGTTGAAAGTTGACTGTTAGGCTTAGTAACAAGAAGGTAATAAATAGATTGATTTTTAAATGATACTCCACAAAATGTCATTACTCTTACTTTATTATCCCAGCATCATGTTCATAAAGTTTAGGCACAGAGTTTTTTTCTTTAGAAAACTCTGAATATCTTTCCTCTTCATATTTTTACTTAAGTGCATATACTCTGTAATTAGCCTTGTGATTGTTGAGGTCAAAAATGCGATACTTTTGGAATTTGTTAGTTACTTTGGGTCATTAAAACCAATAGGCATTTTAAATTATTTTTTGTGTAATGTATTAATTATTAAGAATATTAACTGTTTGAATCTTTTTTCCTATATTTAATATGTCTTTTGTTTTGGGATACTTACATATTTATTGATAAGTTAATGTTTTTATGTGGTATGTTTATTAGGAATATATGTTTTTGAGCTTGTCCATGTAGACATTTATGTAAAATACTATATATATTTATCTTCAACTGAGTATGGTGAGGCACCCCAGACAGGCAGATGGAGTTATGTAGGTATAATAAATTTCTCCTTTACATACATGTATCTGTATGTATACACACACATATACATGTGTTTCTTTATGTAGATACCAAACAAAGGTAATTTTATTGAGACCGTACAAGTCTCAGCCTACCAAGAAAGACCTTACTGACCTCTGGAAAAACCCTTGCAGGGTAAGGGACTGATGGCCCACTGTCCCTTACCTCAATTACCTAAATTTTTTCTGTTTTTATTTATACTAGCTGTAATTTTCTTTTGAGATTCTTTTAGAAGAAATAGATATTAAGAATAGGTTAGAAAGCTGCTGCGTTCGAGTCTGTCTTGCCACTTTTAATCTATTTTAGCCCTAGCTGTCCATTCTAGTGTGGGGATTCCCAAGTTTATACAAATGTCAGGTTAGTGCTTCAAACGGTTTCTACTTGGATTGGCATCTGTAGCTGAGACTGACTGACTGAAACCCCACCAACTTTCACAGTATTCCTGATTGTTTCCGTTCAGTTACTCATTTGCTCATAGATATTTGTGAAGTTTCTGCTGTGGCTGGCACTGTAGATTCCAGGCATAAGACAAGACTCAGTCTAGTGTGGAAAGTAGATGTGTGAAATGTCAAGATCAAATATGGTTAATGTGGTGAAAGATGTACTTTTTTTTTTTTAAATAATGGAGATCCATCAGGGGAACTCTTACTCAGTTGTCAGGGGTCTTAAGGAGTAAGTAGTAAGTATACATTTTTTTCTTTGTAATTTTTATACATACACAAAATTTCTAAAAGTGAGATTGTTATGTATGTACCCACTATTCTAGATAAGTTTTTTTCCAAAGACATAAAACACTTGTAATGTTTTAAATTACAACATTCAGTAGTACTTTCACTATTTTTATTTCCCATATATTTAGAGCTGACACTAAGGTTGTTTTACTCTTTTGACTAACATTTTTTAAAAGTCATGAAAGAATTCAAATTTCCCCATTGATTATTATGATCATATTGCATGGCTTAACTTACATAGCTACTTTTATTGTCTCCCAGTACTGTGCAAAACAGGGACTGTGTGGATTATTATTTGGATTAACCCAGTGGATAAATTTTTTGAATAATGGCTAATTTTGAATTAAGGTTATTCACACCACACCTGGCTTTATGTCACTTAAAGGTACTATCAAACTTATAAAACAAATGTAGGTATGACTGTTTTTGGGTAAAGAGTGTGTTACTGTGGACTAGGTTGTTTATTTCTTAGCATGTATGAACCCAGCATTTTTCAGTCATTAGGATCTTTGAATCTGTGTTGTGGTATGTGTACTTTTTCTTTTTTAAATTTAGAATGTATTTATTTATTTTATTTTGTATGTGTGTGTGTGTGTCTGTGTGTTTGTGTAGGATTATGTGTGCTTATTTCTGAGTTTAATTTTTTACTAGGGAAAATTTCACACATACCTAAAAGTAGAATAGCATAGTGTATCTTCACGTGTGTTAATTATTCAGCTTATGCAGTGAACACGGTGCTGAGTAGACTATGCTATTAACTAGGCATATTTTCTTTCTTTCTTTCTTTTTTTTTTCTTAAACTTGTAATGTATCTGCCTCAGCCTCCTGAGTGTTGGGCTTACAGGGATAGGCACTGTGTCCTGGCTGAGTGGGTTTGCTTTCTGCATAAATTGTAGAAGCATAAGTATTTAGAAAATATCAATTTGGAATGTAGTGCTGAAATTTAAAAAAATTAATTAAAACCTAGCCAGTGCTTATTGTGGTGATTATTTATTGATTTATTTTTGGCAGTATTGGGTTTCGAACTCAGAGTCTTGGGCTAGCCAGGCAGGTGCTCTACTACTTGAGCCACGCTCACAGCCCTGTTGTGTGTATATTAATTATACTTTAAAATTCTTACATGCTAATTCTAATACATTTTTATCCACAGAATATTTTCACCAACCACACTCTTGATATAAATGTAAGGTGGCTTGCTGTTCTATACTTTAAGCATGGGATTGATCGTTATTGGAGACGTGCAGCACCTCAGTAAGTTCATCAGTTCCTCATTGTAATCGTTTCCAAATTCAAGAAGGGTGAGAACGTACATGCTTATGCAAAAGAATTTGTTAGTGCTTATTTATTCGCACATATACTAAAATTGGAAGAATACAGAGAAGATTACCATGGTCTTTGGAATTTTGCACAGCATATGGTACTTAAAAGGAAAAAACCAAAATAAAACAAGTGTGTTAGCTGATGAAAAAGAAAAATGTTCCACATAGTTAACAACATTATCATTGCTTTTCTCCATGGGTTTTATTTCTCTGTATGTATGTGTGTGGTATGTGGTGTAATCTTCTTGGCCTTCTGCTTGTAAAGATCATTTTGCATATATGAGTTATATTGAACTCTTGTAAAGAAGTAAAATGTTTTGGATTTTCTACAAAATCTTATCGAACAGGAAACACATTATTTCTGAAGCAGTCGAATATTCCTATGTCTTTTGCAGTTTTTACCTCTGTGATAGGAGTGGGGTAGTATACATTTACAGTCTCATTGGAGTTAGTTTTACCTACATTGTAATTGCAATGTGGTGGTTAAATGAACAAATTTATGTTGATAGTTAATTGTATATAATTTTTTTTTTGGGGTGTTATTGGAGTTTGAACTTAGGGCCTTGTGCTTACAAAGCAGATGATCTACCATTTGAGCCACACCACCAGTCCTAATTGCATGTTTTATAATTGATGAGAAG